TTAAAAGAAGACTATAGTAACAAAAGAATTTCTTGCTTTCCAGTTTCAATTAATTTCTCCTGGCACATTTGGGGATTGAAGGACTAAATTTGAAATTTATGCCTTTCCATTATGGAAATTTATTTTTCTAAGGTGGTCACCCTTAATGCCTTTTCAAGTTCAATCATCGGTGTAACTTTCAGGTCAAAATCGTCAGAGTACATTTCCATCTCAAGATCCTCAAAAAGTGCACCGATGCGTATTCCTTCAAAGAATAAGAGTGCATTGAAGATGAGAAAAAAGTTAGTACAGTTTATCTCTAGCTTACTATTTTTACCCGCTTTGATTTTCTACTAGATTTTTTTTCCCTCAAAATATTTTTACSAAGTTGTTCTCTCTCTTATACAGTACCCTGTACTTTGTTCGAAAAATTGCAAAATTTATGTTAATTGAAATTTCATATTTTTCTGGTGTAGGAGGTAATAAAACATGATTAATCTAGTTGCTTATTTTTATTTAGTAGATTAGTTTAGTTAATTACTTTTATTAATATTTCAATTATCATTTTTAGAATTTATTATTTATTTTCATTTTCTTGTAAGGTTAAATAACCAAATTTAAGTTTTATTTAGAAGGTTTGAACATGAATGAATGTGTTTTTAGATAGGCTTCTCCCATTTTAGGATTTCCTACCTATTTCCTGTGGATTTGGCTTAATCCATTTTAATTCACACAAACCCACTGGATCATTTTCCCTTTGACATAATTATTTTAGTTGCCTATTTTAATATTAGATTAGTTTATTTAAATTCTTAGTTTTAGTTAATAACTTTTATTATTTGCTCAATAAGCATTTTAGGATTTATTATTATTTTCATTCTTTTAAGGATGAAAATAGATCCATTTAGATTGTATTTGAAAGTTATTAAAATAAATAAATGGAGACTGTTTAGATCTCTCACGGTGGAGTTTCTCCTTGTTTGTCAGGGTGTGGCTTAATCCATTTTAATCCACCCAGACCCGCTGCATCATTTTCTTTTTCGTAAGATTTATCATATATTTTATCTTTGTAAGCCAACATGAGAATAAACTAGTCAAGGCATATATCCTCGGCCAAAAAGTCGGAGATYCGAATCCTCACCCCACATGTCGTTGAACTCAATTTTTTTTTTTCTCTTTTCAATGTCTTCTTTATTTTAAATTTCAGGTCACTGAAACCAGCCTCGATGTCAAAGTCCTCCCAAACTGTTTCAAAGTGCAGTTCTTCATTAGCTAAAAATCAGTGGAAAATAACTATGAAGTTAGTTTCTTTATCATTTGTTGATTTTTAATTTTTTAGTGGTACAAATTTCCATCTGTTTCCATACTATGGAAGCAAATACGTTTCATAGTCTCGATAAATATTATGGTTTACTTTACCTTTGAATACTTTTATTCTTAAGAGATCAGAGGTTGCATAAGTTGGTTTTTGAGGAAGGCGGATTACCTGATGGAACTGAAGTAGCGTATTTTGCAAGGGGACAGGTAGTTAAGATAGATCATGCATGCTTATCTGCGTAACTATTCAAGTACTACTTCAGTTAATATCAATGTATGGTGGTTTACTCATTTTACGTACAGAAATTGCTTCAAGGTTATAAGAAGGGGTCTGGAATTTTATGTTGCTGCTGCAATTGTGTGGTAAAACTTTTTGGAATTCTYGTACTTTCAAATTCATGAGTGATATTATGAACTCTTAGAAAAGGTTTTAGCATATTTACCTTTTATGTGCAGGTCAGTCCTTCACAATTTGAAGTTCATGCTGGTTGGTCTTCTCGCAAAAAACCGTGAGCATATTTTTCTTTAGTTATATATAAGCTCCTCAAACTATTCATTGCTAATATTTTCAAATATGTGGTGGTTTTGTTTGGCAGTTATGCATACATTTACACGTCAAATGGGGTTTCTCTGCATGAATTAGCAATCTCTCTCTCGAAAGGTCGCAAGTACTCTGCAAAGGATAATGATGACTTATGCATCATATGTCTAGATGGTGGAAATCTTTTGCTTTGTGATGGCTGCCCAAGGGCATTCCACAAAGGTGAATCATAATATGGAGAACTATGAACGCAACAATTTTTTTTATATGAAATTTCTCCATTTTAAACCGGTTTTTTAATTATTATTTTTGAAGTATTTTAAATAAATGTGTTAGATATAGATGGTCATTACCAAGTATAATGACTTAGAATTCTTGGCCCATTCATATCTTTGAAAAATTCACTTTGTAGTTTGCCAGAGTAGAGTTTTTGATTTGCTGTTCCATTCATCTGTGCAGAATGTGCATCATTACCAAGTATTCCTCGTGGTGATTGGTATTGTAAATTTTGCCAGAATATGTTCCAAAGAGAGAAGTTTGTTGAGCATAATGCCAATGCTGTTGCAGCCGGAAGGGTGTATGGAGTTGACCCTATTGAGCAGATAACTAAAAGATGCATTAGAATGGTCAGGAACATTGAAACAGATCTTAGTGGATGTGTGTTATGCCGGTATTAATTGTGTTTTTCCTTCTCTCAAATGTCCATGGCTAGGACTTTTCATTTTTATTTTCACTTTGTGCTCTCTTATATGTTGCTTTTGGTTTGAAGTTTAATATTTTCTTTTTCATCTTTGTATGCAGTGGCTCTGATTTCAGCAAATCAGGCTTTGGTCCCCGCACAATTATACTTTGTGATCAGGTATCTTGTTATATCATCTAAATTTCTAATTGAACATTCTAGTGCTGTTGTTATTGACTCATTTCCAGTTCCTTGCCCGTGTTACTAGCTGTTACGCTCTTTCTTCAATTTCTTCATTTGATTTCTGGTCAGTGTGAGAAGGAATTTCACGTGGGCTGTTTGAAAGATCACAAAATGGCATTTCTTAAGGTGCGAACAAGAAATCATACTCTTACTTTTAACCTGAAATCCTTAGTGCGAAAAGAATCTATTATCTTGTACAATGTCCAAATTCTTTCCGGATTAAGGAACTGAAAAGACCTGTTATGAAACAGGAATTGCCAAGAGGAAAGTGGTTTTGTAGCACAGATTGCACGAGGATACATGCTGCTCTACAGAAGTTGCTAATTCGTGGACCAGAGAAGCTTCCCGATTCACTTCTGGATGCTGTCAATAGAAAGCTTGGAGAAAATGGTTCAGACATCAAGGCTGATGTTGATGTCAGTTGGAGGCTTATCAGTGGCAAAATTGCTTCACCCGAAACTAGGTTGCTACTTTCGGAGGCCATTGCAATCTTCCATGTAAGTCTTCTTGTATTTTCTTTTTATTTGGTTCGTTAGTTAAGTTCATTTCTATAGCAATAATCTATGTTCGAATAAGGTACTGGTTTAGATAACATTCTTGGTTTCTTGGATCAAACTGTGTCGGAGTAGAAAGGAATTGAGGTCACGTTGACTTTTGAATTTCCTAAATTACATTAAAGTATTAGATAAATTATTTATGACTCCAGATCACTTTATTTTATCATTTCTTCCAATAGTATGCTACACTCTACAAATACAAAAGCAATGCTGACGAGTCTGGGAAGCTATCATTATGCTTGTACTTTGTATAGTCTATTTGTTATTTTATGAGAAGTCTCTGAATTTCATGAATCGTAGAATTTGTGTTGCCATCGTTTTAACTATGAACCTAGGTGCAATATCTGATTAAAACATGCCATTCTTACTTTACAGGATCGGTTTGATCCTATAGTTGATATAACAAGTGGACGTGATCTAATTCCAGCTATGGTTTACGGGTTGGTGACATGTTATTTCATCATGATCTTTTGCTTGTTATGGCAATAATACTGGCCATATTCAGTTTATTGGAACTAGCAACTTATACTTTGTTATTATCTATCATTCTATCTCACAGAAGAGATGTAGGTGGACAAGAGTTTGGAGGCATGTACTGTGCCATATTAATTGTCAAGTAAGAGTTTTCCTTATCAATTCGACCTGTAACCTGTTATGAATTATCATTACAGTTCTCTATTTGTATTTCACAGCTCATTTGTTGTATCTGCTGCAATGCTGCGTGTTTTTGGGCAAGATATTGCAGAGCTACCGTTGGTTGCAACAAGTAATGGTAACCATGGCAAGGTCTGTATAGCAATTTAGAAAGTTTTTGACATCCCTGACTTTCTAATCAGTAATCAGTATGCTGTATTTTGGCTAATCTGATTTGATTCTTCCAAACATGTAATAATGACAGGGCTACTTCCAAACATTGTTTTCATGCATTGAGAGGCTGCTAGCTTTCTTGAAAGTCAAGTGCCTTGTTCTCCCGGCTGCTGAAGAAGCTGAATCCATTTGGACCCAAAAATTCGGTTTCGAAAGAATTAAACCAGACCAGGTATATACTCCACCTATTCATTACCTTAAATTGGGCAAATTCCGACYACCTGAGCAAACTTTTGTATCGACTCACTGCAGCTTAGCAGCTATAGAAGAACTTGCTGCCAGATGGTGACATTCAAGGGGACATCAATGCTTCAGAAACCGGTCCCCTCATGTCGGGTCGTAGGTGCTCCATTGTGACAATGGAAGGTGTGAGGTTTCCCTCTAATCTTGCCTGCCTCTCCTCTCTGTGTATAGCTCATATATTTTCCCCCACTTTTCTTAGTCTATTCAGTAGATGAGCTCTATTATCGATCCCCATTTTAGTTTTATATTATACCTTCAAAGTGTAGCTTTCCCCTTACCTTCTCCTTGGGTTACAAACGGTCTTCATAGGTGATGGCTTTAGGCAAAACCAGGAAGCCACTCCCCCAGCCGGCGGGTAAACACCCTTCCCATTCATGCTTCTCTATATGCATGCTTGTGAATATTCAGGTGTCTAAATATGTTAGTATGATGATTTTATAGTTAGTTTTGCCATGGAATGATTTTAGAAGGAAAATTTGAAATCCTTGGTTCAAATTTTTGTATTGTCAGTCTTCCTTTTAATGTAAATTTTGGCTTCTGCTTAGTTTAGGGTTAGAGGTCAGATCGACTCAATGGTGACCATTAGTAGAAGTTTACAAGAACCTACTTTTTCAAATATAATATAATTTTAGTAAAAATATTTACCAATCAGTTTGATCTAGGGGTGTAGTCTGGTTGGTTCGCCTTGGTTTTGGGCAAAACTGAAGTCGAATCGATTAAAAAAATGCAAAATTACGTAGATCGAACCGAATCGTAGGCGAACCAACAATGAACCGCACGGAATCAATAAATCGTCGGTTTGTCGGTTTGGTTTGGCGGGTTAAATGAATAATGCGGTTCAGAATGGTTTTAATCGGTTCACTTGTTCTCGGTTAAGTTCTTGGCGGTGGTTTAACTTTGGTTCTGTTCTGGGCAGTTTTCTATTGGGCTTGGGCTTTCAAATATGTTTGGTAGTTAGTTAATGTTGGGTTTGGTGGGCTGGTGTTCTATTTTAATAGAAAACAAAAACATAACAAATAAATAATAGGGTAATTGTAGCGGGTAGCAAAAATAATTTATGTATTTCAAAAAATGCACCAACTTTTCAAAATTTCAAATGAAGCGAAATATTTGAATTTTTATTTTCGGAATTTTTATTATTTGGATTTTACCTTATGATATCTGATATACTTTAAATGTATATCACCTGTATTTGATATACATTCAATCTATATCGATATACTTCGATATACATTCAATGTACTCTTGACGTGYATGATCCACAGAAATCTTTTATACAATAACTTTATATTTCAAAAATTTTGTTGCATAATTGTTTTCATATGAAAAAATAGTGGATATAATAGTATTATATCAAAACACATGTATCATAGTTATATTAGTAGATATCATGGTTATATCATAAGTATATTAATAGAAAATTAGAAGTATATTAAGTACATATCAAATATATATCAGTGTTATATTAGTGGTAAATCATATGATCATATATAAGAAGTTATATTAGTAGATATAATAGTTATATCAGTGGTATATCATCATTTGTAYATCAATGGTAAATTAGAGACATCAAGTATATATTATAGATTTATAAATGTTGTATCARCGTGGTAAATCAATGATTATCATACGTATATCAACGGTCCATGTTAGAAGTTCAGTAGATATCATAGTTATTTCAGAAGTAAATCAATTGTATATCTTTATTATATCAGTGGTATGTCAGACATATATCACTAATAAGATATATTGTAGATATATTACAGATATATATCAGATATATTGCAGGGTAAAATTGTAATTTTAAAATTGGACTTCCGTTTTTTGTTGGAAAAAATGTTATATTTGAAAAAAACTAAATGTGGTTGTATTTTGCTAATTTTACTAAATATTTTTGCCACTATGACAAAAATATTTACTAAAATTAGCAAAATAGCAACCACATTTAGTTTTTTTTCAAATATAACATTTTGATCCCCTACTCAAAGGATCTCTCCCTAAAGCAGTAAACTGATCCCCGGTCAGAACCTTTCTTCTAGCCAAGAAYCCCATTATTCGTAAAATCAAGGCTCTTCTACAGCTTCTTCATTTACATAGATAATAGCTCCTCCACTTTTGGAATTGATAAAGGAAACCTTTCCAAGCCCGAATAAGATCGGAAAGAACTGATTGCTTTCTACRATAACAAAATAGTTATCTACTAGCCATGTTTCCTTTCTGTGAGAATGCCGTAGGACTCCAGGAATTATATATATACATACATATATACATATATACATGCATGCATGCATATATATGTGGGTTTTACTTAGGTTTTTGTGGTAGAAATCGAAACTGACCCACTAGTTTCGGTTTTTAAAAATATCAAAATTGAAATCGACACCAATTCAAACTGACAGACGATTTTATCRATTTAATTGGCTTCGTCGGTTTTTCCTTAAACTCCTAGTGTAAWCAATGGCTAATGGTTTTGGATGTTAGAGAGGTGTTGCATGAGTGCCTGACTGTGGTCTTGAATGTGCGAGAGAGGGCAGTATGAGGGAAAAATATTGAGAGGGAATTTATAAGTTAAGAGGCACGACTGACAGATTGGTTTTGCATGGTGCGAAGTTGACCTTCATTGGTTAGTCGGACCGACTAACTGACGTCGCTACCTAAGAGAAAGAATTCACAAACATATGTCAGATATGCATGATGCTAAATTGACCTCCAACTATTGGTTAGTTGGGATTGGAGGACCACCATGTGTGATGATATTAGTTTTTTTTAGAAAATAAATTATACTTGTTTGATAATAATTTCTTTATTTGGTTSTTCACCTTTCAAAAATCTTTAAAATCTTAATCAAAACTTATAAATGTAACCAATTCCTATATATATATATATTTTACGCCCATCCCTATAATATAACTCGTATTGTTATTATTTTAAAGGATAACATTGCAAATTTTAGCTGTCAACAAAAAAAAAAAAAAACATTGCAAATTTTAATCCGATAGGAAAGTAGATAGTGAAATGAAAAAAAAAATGTCACACCCCTATCACACACGTGATTTATAAATTATAACGCAAGCATAATTGACCAACATGGTTACAATATTAAAATTTTATGACCCTCTCTCTAAGGTAAAAGGACCCATTTCCTTGAAATTATCAAATATAATTCATTATTATATATATGATTCATAAATATTTAGGGAAATGTAGAAAAATTTTGTTTCCGAAAAAAGATGTATGGGGATGAAAATGAAAAGTAAATGTAAAACCAAGATTAGGGTCAAGAATTTTCACAAGGAGTGGAAAAATTCACATTATAACTTTTTATATATACAAATATTTCAAATCTAAAATTAGTTAAAAAAAAAAACTTTAAAACTTTAATCTTTTATATAGTTTTTTTAATCTAAAACAAATTAAGGGAGACGATTATTATTATTTTTTCTTTTTTCTTTGGTTTGATCTTGTATAAAAAAGGATTAAGAGGATTTAGATTAGAAATGATAATATTTAATTATTTGTTATTCARAATCTTAAATGGACCCACTGTGAAGAAGACTAAAAAATTCCACTAAAAAAAARGGGTAAAAAATGCACTATTTTGCTCTACAAGTATGATGACATTGAACAACCGCCCCCATGCTTTGCCTTAAAGCAACATGATAAAATTTTAGAGGAAAAATAAATTTACAACCTTTCCCTTTAAGAAGTTTACATGTTCATCATCATCATGAACTAAAATAATTCATTACAAATCCTTAGCCTTCTTAACTGCCAAGCCACCCTCCCTCAAAATCCAGCATATATAAAACATCTTAATTTACATTTACCTTCAAATCCCACTTGTTACAAATCTTCCTAAACCCATGAGGATCAAAACAAATTTCTCCTTTTGGCTTACTCTTATTGCCATTGTAGCCCTTTCCGTCGTCGTCKTCTTCTGCTCCTTCTCGCTTTCCTCGACCGCGATCGGTCCTCGAGACTGGTGGTTTTGAGCTTGGCATTTTCAGAAGTCTAGTGAAAGAGAGCGGCTTGGATGATTATTTTTGGTATCTTGTAACTCAAATTGTGTCCAAACACAAGCAGCATCATGGATGGAAGCATAGAATTAGGAGTTGTGATGAGAAGAAATGGAACTCTGAGTTGATATCTATATACAATGTTTCGCTAGCTTTGACAGTTGATTTGAAGGGATGTGCAAATTTCAGCAGTGTGCAAAAGGCAGTGGATGCTGTTCCTGATTATGCCTCTTCAAGAACCCTTATCCTAATTCAGGCTGGTGTTTACAGGTCATTATCATCCCAAAACACATTCAAATCTTCTAATTATATTCCCTTCTCTCCGCGTTTCTAACATCGGGAATATTTAGAGCACAATTTTGGTATCTTTGACTTTTTAGACCCATATTCCCGACGTTTTTTTGTAGAACATCGGAAGATATCAAATATSTATCAACGTTTTCGCAGCAAAGTTGATAGTTTTTTTGACGATTAGAGAAAATAACTTCTCGTGACAATTTTTTCAACGTCGGAAAACAACCATTTCTTTTAGTGTGGTTTTGATGTTAAAAAATTAGGTTGAAAGAAAAAATYGTGGGGGGAAATGGACAAAATAARCATTCTATAGGTCCCTTTTAAGTTTTTTAATCAGTCMTTTTCAAAACACAAGATTTATAGGCATTTKCTGACATYACCTTCACACCAAATGACCCTCACTACCCCTCCACTAATATTTTAGACTTTCCTCTTGATTTCCTCTCTCTACCTCCATCTCCCTCTTTTTCCATATTCTTTTTTTCTCTCCATCTTCTTCTTTTTCCAGATTTTTTTTTCTTATYGTTTTTCATTATTCTCTTTTCCTCTTCAACAAAGTTTTTTTTTTTCTCATTTTCTCTAAAATTTTCTTGGAGTTTCTCTTTTCCTTCTTCCATACATTCTTCCATCTTTCTGTATTTTTTCTAATTACTATTATTCCCTTTCTTCTTTACTAACCACAAAAAGCAATTTACTTTAAAAANCAGCAAAGTTTTTTTTCTCATTCTCTTTAAAATTTTCTTGGAGTTTCTCTTTTTCTTCTTCCATCTTTGTGTATTTTTTCTGATTACTATTATTCCCTTTCTTCTTTACTAACCACAAAAAGCAATTTACTTTAAAAACATCCATGGTTCCTGTAACTTCGCTGACGACGGCTGCATCAAAGCCGACGAAGGAAGTCATTCGCCGAAGAAAGAAGCTCAGTGGAAGAGGAATGAGGGAGGAGATAAAGAGAGATAGCGAGGGTGAGCGAGAGAGAGAGAGCGAGGGTGAGCGAGAGAGAGCGAGATCGAGGGTGAGCGAGAGAGAGAGATCGAGGGTGAGCGAGAGAATCAAATGTATCAATTTAAAATCTAATTAAAAAAGAGGTTTTGAGAAACAAATTTGAATTAAATTTCAAATTCGAATACTTTCTTTTTGTAATTAGATTTTAAATTGATATTTTGATTTGATTAAATTTTAAATTAGGAATGAAAGAGATGAAAGCAAAATGAGGGGTTTTTAACGCTCAACCTCGCTCTCTCGCTCAACCTTGCTCTCTCTCGCTCAACCTCGCTCCCTCTCTCTCAACCTCGCTCCCCCATTCCTCTTCYACTGATCTTCTTTCTTCGGCGAACGACCTCCTTAGTCGGCTTTGATGCATCCATAGTCAGTCACGGGAATCATATAGGGAAAAAATTACTTTTTGTGGTGAGTAAAGAAGAAAGAGAATAATAGTAATAGAAAAAATAGAGAAAGAGRGAAGATGGAAAAGAGAAACTCCAAGAAAAATTACGATAAGAAAACAGAGAGAAGGAAAAAAAATCTGAAAAAAGAGGAAGGTGGAGGTAGAGAGAGGAAATAAGGAGGGAAGTCTAAAATATTAGTGGGGGAGAGAGAAGAGAGATGGAGTCTGGAAGAGAGAAAAAAAGCAAGAAGGGTATAGGAGGTCATTTGTCAAAGTTGGTGATGTCAGCAGTGACTAGAAAACTTGTATTTTGAGAAGAACGATTAAAAAACTTAAGAGACTATTACAGAAGTCTTATTTTGTCCATTTTTCYAAATTGTGGCAGGGAGAAGGTGGTGATAGAAGCCAACAAAACAAACTTGATAATCCAAGGACAGGGTTACCTCAACACTGCAATAGAATGGAATGACACTGCCAATTCCACAGGATCCACCATTTACAGCTCTTCATTCACCATCTTTGCTCTAAATTTCACTGCCTTCAACATCAGCTTCAAAGTAAAGTAAAAAAACATCTTCTAATTTGATTTCTTTCATTTTTTTAATTTATTTGCCAAATTTTCTACTTTTAACTATCTTTAATCTTTTGTGGGTTCTTTTAATTGGGGGATCAAAAGAACACAGCTCCTGAGGCAACTCCAGGGATAAGTGGAGGGCAGGCAGTGGCACTCAGAGTTGCAGCAGATGAAGCTGCTTTCTATGGCTGTGGATTCTATGGAGCCCAAGACACACTCTATGATTACAAGGGGAGACATTACTTCAAAGAATGCTTCATTCAAGGATCCATTGATTTCATCTTCGGCAACGCCCGATCGCTCTACGATGTATGTTATTTTTCAATAGGTTAGGATATATTTAGTTGTTTTTTTAATATAACAAATGTTCGGTTTATAAGGATGATACAAACAAAGTTCCACATGGAATAGAGAATGAGGTGATCATAGGTATATAAAGAAGGACAATTATCTCTGTTGATAYGAGGTCTTTTGGGTAAAACCAAAAGCAAAATCGTGAGGTCTATGCCAAAAGTAGATAATATCATACTATTGTRGAGATACTCGGGAGCTATACTCGTATTAGCTATTTAGTCGTTTTTATTTAGAATATTATTACATTGAATGAGGAGGCAGAGATTAATTCAGATCTATGACTACTTAGAGGGGTAGAGATAGCAAGTTTTAACTGACGACTTATTGCTCAGTTTTTAGATAAACAATAGGTAAATATGGTATCAAAGCAAGACCTCCCGTATTTTTTTGCCATATTTAAGTAACATAAATAACTATGAATATGAAAAGAAACTTAGAATGAGGAAATTTGGGTTTTGGTAATGGTAGGGTTGCAAAATAAAGTCAATAGCAAAGGAATTGTGGGGTGGAGGGGTAAGTGGAGCCATCACTGCTCATGCAAGGCAGTCCAGCAGCGACCAAACTGGGTTTGCTTTTGTCAACTGCACCATCACTGGCTCCGGTAAGGTATGGCTCGGCCGCGCCTGGGGGCCCTCTGCCACCGTCGTCTTCTCCACCACGTACATGAGCGGAGTTGTCGCCCCCGATGGATGGAATGATTGGAGAGATCCTTCCCGAGACCAGTAAGTGTTGTATATAGAATGACTTTTTCTTCTTGCGAAAAAATTACTAATTTAGAGTGAAAATTAGATTGATTTRAAAATAGCTTTTGAAAAGACACTTAAGATTAAAATTACAAAGTTATTTTTTTTAAAGTGAAAGATGACTTCCAATCTCTTGATTGAAGATATATGCTAATAACCTCTAAACTATGTTCGTTTTGATAGTATAATTAACTTTTAAATGTTATGTAACTAAATAAATTTATTATGTAAAAATAAAAGGTGTTTGAACTAAAACGTATGTCAAACTCATCGTCTCGAGCTTCATCTTCTTGTTGTCGTACATTGTGATCTGAGGAGTGTGTTGTTTGGGGAATATGAATGCTTTGGAGATGGAGCAAATTACAGGTTGAGAGTTCCATATGCAAAGCAGCTGAATCAAATGGGAAGCTGAACCTTATATGGATGTTTCCTATGTTGATGGAAGTGAATGGCTCATCTATCACCAAACCACTTTCTCTGCCAATTAATTTATGTTAAAACAAAAATATAGTCCATGCTCTCAAATCTTTGCATTTTTAAAAAAAAAAATTAGTTATTGATCTTTTGAAATTCTAAGTTTCAATTGAGTTACTGTCTAAAAAGATTTGTTAAAGATTTCACTGTTATAAATAGAGACGTTAATAAGTACATTCATTATTTATGGATATATATACTATTATGTGTTAAATAATATTTTTCAAGCTCACTCAASAAGCCTCTGAAGTCTTTAGAAGCCACTAGGTTAAGAGATTTCTCAAGTTTGCTTAAGAAATTTTTCCTTGGAAAGTTGAAGCAAYTAGAAGCTACTAGAGTGGAATATGTGGCAAATCTATGGCCATTAGATCATCATCTTATCCAAGACGGGCTAATATGTGGCATATTTTGTAGCCATAGAAATTTGCTTGATGGTAAGTATGGTTGTGCTATAAATAGGTGGGCATCCATACTTCGTCAACCCATTCCAAAAATCTTCAATTCCAAGTGAAGCTAAAATGTGAGTGTGAGACTTGGTGAGATAAAGTTAGATAGTGTACAGTAGAAATTTAAACTGAATATTAATTAGTGGTGCAGTAGATATTTTCAACTTTTTCTTCATCCGCTTCGTTGGTTCGACGAGTCTATCAAGATTCAAACTCTAGAAGTCATGTTAATAAGGTGTTTAAAATTCCATTGAACCACARCTGGATTTAATGTTCTAAAACAGTTGTCCAATATATAATATATAATAATATTTTATTTTTTCCTAAAAGATAAAAGTTGATGTAGTCTCTCTAGGAGACTACCACAAAATGCGTGCCAACACATGGTTATCTCTTCYAGAGACGACCATGTCTTGATTTTTTTAAAAAATAAGACGTGGCACCGATAGAGCGCTACGTCATTATTGTCGTCTCTTGAAGCGACGAYCAAGTGGCTCAACAATTCCAAAAACAAAATGTTTCAGAAGAAACATTTTTTATCTAATTTGATTTAATGTCATATTATTTTAAAAATAAATTTAAATAAAAACGTTATTTAAAAAAATCCACTAAATAGAAGTTAACATATATAACCCAAGAAATCGAGAGAAAGAAACTCGAACAATTCCAAAGCAAAGCTTGAACTGGTGTACCTTTTTCATGAATATATCTTACCTAAAGTTGGAATAACTTTTATACTCCCTCTCTAAAATTTAGTTTGGAGTTGTCTATAATAATTGCAGTTCAGTTGTGCTTTTAAATTAAGAAAAAAAGAAGTTAAATTAATTTGTTAGTGTTCAAGTTCTAGAAAAGAGAATGATTTTTGGTATATAAATTATTTATTACTGAAAAGTGAGGATAGGAACATTGATGGGACGAAAATAGAATTTAAATCGAGAAGATTTAAGGGTAAAGTCAGATGAATATGAATAGAGGCCACAGGTTTAAAGATGAGGACCAGAATTTGGACTTTTGGTGCACTGAACCGATTCATTGCCACAAACAAACAACACCAACAGCAAACACATGAATTGTGAAGGATGGAAGGAAGTTGATTTGACAACAACACGTGAAAAACGACGCCGTCAAGTGACCATTTGATTTTTCTTCGTAAATTTTAGCATAAATTTTATATATAAGGAAAATCTTTTTAAGTACAAATTCGAACCTAGTGACTAAATTGTCGTGTTAAAATTAGCATAGAGAGAAATGAAAATAAAAAATTAAGCTAAAGTACGGAATTAATGAACAAAAGTTGAAAGTATAAGTACCAAAATAGACGATTTGAAAGTACAAGACCAAAATGAATTAATACTTGTGTTGACCTAAAAGTATGAAGACTAAAATAAATATTTTGAAACTATACGAGTTAAAATGAACTATAAAGTACAAAGGAGAAAATAGTATTCAACCCTTTATCAAACTGCTATATTTTCTTTCACAAATAAATTAATACTTGTGCCAATTTACTCGATATTTATCTATTTATAACAATTCAAGAGTGTGTTTGAGAGTGATAGTAAAATGAATGATTTTGATAAAAGAGATTTAAATATATTTGATTTTTTAAAATCACCATGTAAGTGATACTTAGGGACTAAAATAAACAAAAATTTTATTTTCATCTAAAACAATTTTTCTATCCTCACCTTCTGTGAGTACTATCACATTTTAACTATCTAACAAAGAAAGTATGATAACTAAAATAAATAAAAATTAAAAATGCAAACACTAAAATAAACAAAACCTAAAAGTACCGAAACTAAAATAAATGTTTTAAAAGTATATGAGTTAAAATCAACTATCTGAACACGAAAAATAGTAGGTCTATTTTAGCCATAAAGTTAAATCGCGAGAAAAATATTTATTGTTAATTTATGAAATATTATAATCCATATTATTTAACAATCATAGCAATTTTCAACAAAACCCAGGTATAAACCTGTTGGATTTAGCAGGAATGGTTAATTAGCCAATAATTACCGACTAAATTTAACCTTAATCCATTTGATATATTGACAAATAAACATGTGATTAAACTAAAAAAGAAGTAATGTAAAACTAATAAAGAAAAGTTTGGGACTTTCAACTAACTTTGTTTGTTTCCTATGTTGATAGTGAATTCCCTCTTATTTACTACTAATTTTTCTCAAATATTAACAAACAATTTGACAAGCAAATGACTACATCTTTGTAAAATTTCGAACCTATTAAAAATTATTAAGCTTAAAAGATTCATAAATGCTATACAAGAATTCGTAAACATCTATGTCTGATTTCCCTTATTCATAAGGGTAAAAAGAAGCTAAATGTGTGCTGTTTTCTAACGTTTTAAACTCGGAAACCGTGATTTAAGCTTGGTATAGTATCCAAAACCTTTCATTTTAAGTTATCTTGGGTTATACATGCACATAGGATGTTTTTACATCATTTAGAGTTGATTTCTAACGAAAATTACACTTTTGTACAGAAAAATATCGAGCTAGGCGCCTGACACCTTCCCCAATCCCGAGATTGCCCTTAATGTAAAACGCATGTTTTGGTGTGATTTGAAGCCTTCCAAATCTCTGCCACGTGTCTTCCATACATTAAAGGTTGCCAATTCAACAACTACCCAACCAAAAAGTGTTTGAAATCGATGGCTCTCCACAAAGCTCTCGACCTCCTAACCACCTTGAAGTCCCTATAAATTCAACAACTCATTCACTTCATTCATCATCCCGTAGTGATCATTTCAGCTTTAGACATTTACTTTTCAGCTTGTTTACGTTTTCTCTTTTAAGTTTTTGAGTTGTTATTGTTTTAACCTTACTTATTTCAAGTTCATCCTTTATTTTCCAGCTTATTATTCTTCAATTGTAAGTTTTAGTCTTGTTTAATTAAAATTCCAGCAAGTTCTTTGTTACTCTTATCTCTCTCATTATTATTTCGAAGTTGTAATCACTCAATCTTGAGGAATCGACCGAGTACAGCTCCCCAATCTTGAAAGAGAACGGGTTAGGGTTATTCGGGTTGCAACTCCACAATTTCCAACTTGTTTTAATTATACTTAACTTTTAATTATGTCGTCTACTTCCATCAACATTAAATTCTGTTTTTCTTTTATTATCATGAGCTAAATTATTTTTCCCAAGCCCGGTTATGGATAGTTAGTTAAAGTTTTTAAAATCCAACAAGGCATTGAATCAATTACATACCAGTTCCAAGAAATTAGAGGTTATGGTAAAACTTCGTTTAAAACGATGTGGTAGAAAGCAACGTGCGACTTGAAGGACATGATCTACTGTGGATTCTTACACCCACCATTTTTTATTATATAGGAATGAAGATGCTCTTGACTCGACATCGTTTGTTCTGTTCCACTCGAGCTCTCATTTTTTGAGGGTTTTGATGTAAATAGTACATGATGGAGCTCGAGTAGAAAGTATTGATTCATTTATCAAGGGCAGAGATCTAGGGTTAGTGTCAATCAATAAGTTGAAACAATTTCGTAAGTATAAGACATTTTTCTCCTCTTTTATCACTTAAAGTTGTTTCCATAAGTTGAAACTTGATTTGACCAATTAATGCTTTAACCAAGCATCAATACTGAAAAGGTTGATACGTTTTCACAACTTCACTGATTTAACTTTAGAGAGGAATACTTTAAACATAAAGATTTCGCTCGGGTAGCCTAGACATAGGACCTCGACCTAATGTTACGGTTGGTTTTTACTAAATTAAGTTCTTTTTTATAATAGACATATTAGGAATGGACTTAAACCTTCAAAATCACTTAGACATAAGAAGATGACGAAGTAAAACTGAAGAAAATTTATGAGAGGCGTCTGGCGCCTAGTTGGAACAAGTTGTGTATTTTTAGCTAATTTGAAGTAACTGGGCTGAGTTTATTGCATTGAGTTTTTAAATATCAAAACCAACATTATCCTTATTATTTGTCACCCCAAATTCAATTACAAAGTCTCCTGATCATTAACATTTCCTATAAAAAGACTTCATTTGTCTCTGAGGATCGATACTCGGAATACTAGTTCCGTTTTTACTACTTGTGACGGGCGTACACTTGCGCTCTCATTTATTTTGAATCCAAAATCCCAAACAATGTCTTACAATATAACCCATGGCTAAACACTCAAGGTTCAATTCAACTTTCATCTCTCGATCATAAATTGAATCTAAAATGATACAATTAGTGATCAAACAACTACCAATATTAAGTTCAGAATATTAACTCAACAATGGAAATAACTTCATCAATCAAAAATACAAAGTCCAAGAGTTCATAGTTTCAGCTACCTCGACCCTATCCTCCAACTCAAATGAATCCAACCTCCCAATTTTGTGAGAAAGTAGAAGCATCAGAGAAGTTAGCGGGTTGGACCTAACTAAGAAAATAGAGATAAATGCATAAAAAAGAGAGAAATAGAATAAATAGTCGTCTATTTTTTAATGATGGTTTACTTATCCGTAAGGACCTAAATTTTATTCGGGCCAGAATGTCCTTGATCCATGATGTCTTTAATCAACAGCTTGACGTTGAGATGAGAAGAACCTCCATCTTCCGTGGCGGCCTTTGCTCTTTCAGCAAATTCCCTCACCCTCCTCCTCATCCCTTCCTTATCCTCTCCATCCATCACCTTCTCTATTGCATCTATAACTGCTTCCTTCTTCACTTGCACCCCAATTTCTTCCTCGGCTCCCCACGCATAGCATTTCTCCACCCCAACGCTGGCCCCAATTTTAAGAATTTGAACAATCAACATCTCGTTGAACATTTGGTCGGCGAAGAGCGGCCACGCCACCATTGGTACGCCAGTCGCGATGGCTTCAATCGTCGAGTTCCAACCGCAATGTGTTACGAATGCACCGATGGCAGGGTGCGATAGTATCAGCACTTGCGGGGCCCATCCACGGACCACGAGGCCTCTCCCATTGGCCTTGTCCTCGAAATTGTGCTCTGACAGCCACTTCTCTAGTCCTTGTGTGGCATTGGTTTGTCTTATGACCCAGATGAATGGTCTGTTGGATGCCTGGAGAGCCAGCCCCAGCTCTATCATTTGCGATGTTGCCACATTGCATGTGCTACCGAGTGCGGCGTAGATGACTGAGCTAGGGTCCTGCTTGTCGAGCCACTCAAGGCATTCACGTTCGCCAATCGCTGACTTGTCACCTCTATGAGTCTTGTCCATTGTGTCTTTGTTGCATAGACTAACAGGTCCAACGCACCATACTTTTTTTGATCCTATTGTTAAGAATATAAATTAAAAAAAAATTAAGATTTCTTTTTGTTTTTCATTTTTGAAAAATAAACTTACAAACATTACTTTCATATATATTTGTGTTAGTTTGTTTTGTATATAGTTTTTATAAATATTTTTAAAATTTCGACTAAATTTTGAAAAGAAAAAAAATTAATGTTTCAAAAATTTATTTTGATTTTGAAATTTGACTAAGAATTCAAATATGTTCTCAGGAGGCGAAACACTTTTAAATGAAATTGTACAAAGATTAATTTCTAAAAAATTAAAAATTAAAAATAAAATAGTAACCAAACTACACATAAATATTTCTAACATATTGGCTAATGAGAATTTAATGATTGGTTAATCTTATATGGGAGTAGATCTATTGTCATTTCTACTATATATATATATTTTGAGCTTTGTGCTACTTTCTAATAATGTACCTCAAAAAGATTCAAATCTCATTTTAATTTCAAAATTTTCAATTTTATTACATTTTAGTCCATAAATTTTTCACATGTCTACCTTATTAATTGAACTTACAAAAAAAAAATCATTGTAGTTCTTAACTTGTGCCTTGATATGGATAACCTAACTTGAGTATGTGTTATTTGGTAGTGCCACGTGGCTCGATTGGTTGATGCAAATAACGACAAATGGGTGTCAGACTACAAAATCTACGCAACAACCAAAATGGGTAAAATTAAAATGAGACATTTCAAACTCCTCTCCAACCAAAATGAAATAAAGTTGAAATTTTATATACTATAATCTACCTTTCAAAAAATTTAGGGTGAATTTTGTTAATGATTCGAAAACAAGTGATTAAATGAAAACATTATTGAAAAAGAAGAAATGAGTTTACAACAAATATCGCATTAATCAAAATTTTATCCTTTCAAATATTATTCTGTATTAAAAAAAAGTTTTTTTTTCAAAATTTTGGTTATAGAATGCCATAACAGTTTTAAAAAAAAGTCATTCAAGTAAATCTAAAATGAAAAAGGAAAAAACAGAATATCTGTCTTTTAAAATTTTGGATTCACAATCTGAAAATGTAAAAAGATAAAACTTATTAAGATTATAGAATTGAAAACAGTTTTTCAAAAAAGTCTACTGAGAGTATTCATTGAATTCGAGTTTGATTTAATAAATCTCCAGATAAAAAAAGAAAAAGAGAAAATCCTAGTTTGAATGGTACCTGTTACTTTCTTGAACTCGGAGAGGTATTTGGGTTCCAAGTCCTGGAAGGAATTGAGGACGAAACCATAGGATTCATGGTCGGCCTTAGCCATTTGGGCGCTCCAGTCCATGAAGATGGGGTCCAAACTGAAGATCAATTTGGCCTTGGTGATCTGCACTGGGTCGGGCAAATCGGGGATCGTAACGGGCTCCAAATCAGCCGCAGCCATGATTTTGTAAACCACATCGGTGGTGGTTCGCAGAGTGGTTATAACACGGAGGTAAAAGCAGGACAAGCTGTAGAAAACAAGCCTCGGAACGTTAAACTTGCGCGCAATACCACCGGTCCAAGGCAGCGCCATGTCGGACACCAAGCAACTCGGGCGAGGAGAGAGCCTCTGGAACAGCTCCTCAGTTGGGCCGCGCAGAAGCGACGTGTCGGCGAAGAATTTGGCGCCCAACTCCAGGGAGGGCAACGAGTCGAAATTCTCGCACTGGATCCCATTCTCCGGGGGGAAACTGATTGTTTGGATTTGAATTTGGAGGGCGGGTTTTGAGAGCAGGGACTGGAAACGAGGGGCGTTTTGAGGGGTGGTGACGAGGGTCACTTTCACTCCTTGCTCCGCCAGAAGCTTTGCAAAGTCCGCCATTGGAATCAGATGCCCTTGCGCCATTATTGGCAACAGAAGGAAGTGGGGCGCTGCTGCTGCTGCGTTTTCCGAAGCCATGGATGAAACTGAACTAAGGCCTCTCTGACTCTCTGCAACACAATTATAACAACCAAACTAAGTCCTATTATATTATCTCATCTCATCTCATCTCTTCGCCTTTCTTTCTGAGTGTGTGGTGCGTGACGAGACATTTTCCAAGCTGCGAGTGTGTGGTGAGAAAACCCTTCCGCATTATAAACATTAATATAGAAAATATTTATTTGTTAATGTAAATATTTTTTACGAATTTTTTTTTATAACTTTTACAGAAATATCATTGACATTTTATTAATATTGATGGTGACACTTAAGCCTAAAAAGAACTGAGCTATTCTCATCACTGGCATATATGAGAGAGTATTAAGAACATACTTAAAAAGATTTATATGCCTACCTCTTAACTTATCCGATTAAGCTTTCAAACAGCATAAATAACTATGAGTACGAAAGAATTTGGGTTTGGCAAAGGGTTTAGGGTTGCCAAATAAAGTCAATTGCAAAGGAATCGTGGGGTGGTCGGGTAAGTGGAGCCATCACAATGCAAGGCAGTCCAGCAGCGACCAAACTGGGTTTGCTTGTGTCAACTGCATCTATCACCAAACCACTTTCTCTGCCATTTAATTTATGTTAAACCTACTCAATGGTTCCCAATCTTTGAACTTATTCTCAATTTGGTTCTTCACGTGTGTTGTTTGAGGTGATTTTCACCGTGTCAAAATCATTTTTATTATTATCAAAATCACTTGTATCATGTTTCGTAAATTAAAAAATTGATTTTAGAAAAGTTTAAAATCACTTTAAATTAATTTTTAATGCTTGATTTGGTTGGATGGTGGTTTTAAAAAATTAATTATACTTAAATCTTTTTAGATCACTCATTATATCTTTATTTCCAAATATACTTTTAATCTTTTGAAATTCTCATGTATTAAAAAATTTCAATCTAAGTTCTTATCTAAAAAACTTTGTTAACATAAGGCTATCGTAACATTAAATTACTATTTTGTTAACCTGCATATTTGGATGCATGGACATGTCACCAAGAAAAAATTAATCTTGTTAATTCGTGGGCCAGATTTTATTGATTTCATTTTAAGTTAAGATTAAATTAAACAATGCCGTGAACTTTAAAATAGGTTTAAATAATATTCCTAAGATTTAGTTTGTTAATTATTTTTGTGCTTTTAAAGAAATCGATTATAGTATGAAATAAACTAGGATTTGGTGATGCTGATGGCAAATGAGTCTGCAACCAAAAAATTTGACCCGTCTAATACACTCTGACGCTCAAATTAGTGATTGGAGTAAGAAAATAGAAGTATACACAAGTGACAAGTTTTTCACTTACTTGTGGTGATAGGAGTCATTCCATTTTATAGGCATAGGTAGCCAACCAGAAGTACAACGATTTTGTGTAGGGACATGCCGAGCTGTACGAGGTCCTGAGTATGGTATTAACCGTAGTCCCGCATCTTGTTGTCGCTCCCAGAATCCAACGCATATCCTCCTCGCATTTTTCCCTCAACAAGTGAATTAAAAAAACGAGGCTAACTTGCTAGAAGGTGAGGATGTGAAAATTGTTGGACGAAAACAGAATTTACTATTATTATTATTACTATTTGCGAAGGAAATTAGAATTTAAAACATGAAGTGATTAACCAACTTTTTTTGAGAGTGAGGATAGGAAAGAAATTTAAGAGTATTTTTCTTCTTTAATTTTGTGGTGAGAGCCCACAGCTTTAGAAATTTGCACGGACGACCAGATTTGGACTTTTGGGGGCACTGCACTGTTTCATTGCACCAAACAAAGAACAGCAACAGCCGTAGAAGCAAACACGTGAATTGTGAAAGAGAGAAAAAAGTTGATTTGGCAACAACACGTGAAAAACGACGCGCTGCTTTTTTAAGAGTGACCATAGCATAAATTTTTGTGTCAAATTTAGATACGGTAAAAAAAATTAGTAAAATAAACAAAACAGCAATCATGTTTTGGTTTTCAAATATAGTATTTCTTAAAAAAAACGAAGGTCCACATGTTAAAGGATAACATTGTCCTACAGACCTAAACCCAAACACAAGCAACCAAAAAATAAGTTTAGAAAACCCTACGTTTCAATTTCTATCTAATATACTGTTGATATTTGTGTTTGATATACTACTAATATAAGTGTTTGATATACTATTGATGTCAAAGTTTCATATACGCTTGATATATTATTTGATACGAGTGTTTGATATACTACTGAAATGATTGTTTGATATATTACTAATATGAGTGTATGATATACTATTTATGTGATTGTCTGATTTACATATGATATAATGCTAATTTTATTTTAACGGGGGAATGAAATATGGTATTCTGGTGCAAAAGTGCAACAATATTCAAAATTAGAATCAATAGATAACATTTTCAAGATGCTAGCACTAACCCAAATAGAAATATTTAGCAGTTGACCATTTGGACATTTTCTATCATTTAATATTAGGAGATGTCCACTACAGTTATTAGTGCATCTAATTCGTTGAATATCTGAAAAGAGCCCACTAGATGCACTGACATTCATATTCAGGGGTACATTAGATGTATATAAGGGGTACATCATATGTATATCAGAGGTATATCGGATGTACATTAGATATATATTGGATGTATATTAGATACAGATATACATCACATGTATATCAAATATAAATTAGATGTATATCAGATATATATGTACGTCAGATGTATATCAAATATCATAAGGGTAAAATTGGAATAATAAAAATTCAAATATTTTGCTATATATTTGAAAATTTGAAAAGTTGGTGACATTTTTTGAAATACATAAAATATTTTTGTTATTCACTACAATTACCCTAAATTTTTTGTAGATAGGAAAAATCTTGAGTACCAATTTGTGGCTACATTTCAAAAAATTTAGTAAGTGAATTGTCGTGTTAAAATTACGACAGAGAGAAATGAGATAAAATTGAAAATGAAAAATGAAGGGATCCTAAGAGTTATTTTTAAGAAGGTACATAAACTAATGAACAAAAGTTAGAAAGTATAAATATCAAAATAGACATTTTAAAACAAATTTTATTTACAGTACAAACTCTTATTACAAATTTATGGCTACGTTTCGAAAATTTTAGTGCGTAAAGTGTAATGCTAAAATTATGATCGAGAGAAATTAGATAACAAAGAAAATTAATGAACCAAGATAAACGTTTTGAAAGTACAAGAACTAAAATAAATAACTGTCTAGTTTTTAGTGGTGATCTACCTATACCGGTCAAGACCTAAGCCGGAACAAAATGTTGTTGATGCATGATGTCTTCGATCAACAGCTTGATGTTGAGTTGAGAAGAACCTCCATCTTCCATGGCGGCCTTTGCTCTTTCAGCAAATTCCTTCGCCCTTCTCCTCATTCCCTTTTTATCTTCTCCATCCATCACCTTCTCCAGTGCATCTATAACTACTTCCTTCTTCACTTGCACCCCGATTTCTTCCTCAACTCCCCACGTGTAGCATTTCTCCACCCCAACGCTTGCCCCAATTTTAAGAATTTGAACAATCAACATCTCGTTGAACACTTGGTCGGCAAAGAGCGGCCACGCCACCATCGGTATGCCAGCCGAGATGGCTTCGACCGTCGAGTTCCAACCGCAGTGCGTTAAGAATGCACCAGTGGCACGATGCGATAGTATCAACACTTGCGGGGCCCAACCACGGACCACGAGGCCTCTCCCATTGGTCTTGCCCTCAAAATTGTGCTCTGATAGCCACTTTTCCAATTCATGTGTGGCATTGGTTTGTCGTATGACCCAGATGAACGGTCTATTGGATGCCTGGAGAGCTAGCCCTAGCTCTACAATTTGTGTTGTGACCACATTGCACTGGCTACCGAGTGCGGCGTAGATGACGGAACCAGGGTCCTGCTTGTCGAGCCACTCGAGGCATTCACGTTCGCCAATCGCGGACTTGTTGCCTCTTTGGACCTTGTCCATTATGTCTTTGTTGCATAGATTAACGGGTCCAATGTACCACACTTTGTCTGATCCTATTGGTTAAGAATATAAATTAAAAAAGAATCAAGATCCTTTTTTTTGTTTTTTGTTTTTTGAAAATAAACTTAGAAATATTATATAGTTTCTATACTTATTTTTTAAAATTTTGGCCAAATTTTGAAAAGAAAAAATAAATAATTTTTCAAAAATTTGTTTTTGGTTTTGAAATTTGACCAAAAATTTAAATATGTTTTCAAGTGGTGAAAAACTCCCAAGTGAAACTATACAAAGAATTAATTTCTAAAAATAAAAAAATAAAAAACAAAATAGTAGTGAAATGACACATAAATATTTCTAACATATTAGCTAATGAGAGTTTAATGATCGAGTAATTTTATATTGGAATAGGAGACATTTCTACTCTTTATTGAGGTTCGTGCTACTTTCTAAGAATGTAACTCAAAGATTCAAATCTTATTTTGATCTCAAAATTTTCATTTATTACACTTTGGTCAATGAATTTTCAACATGTCTACCTTATTAATTGAACTTAAAAAAAAAATAAAAATCAGTGTAGTTCTTAACTTATACATTGATTTTGCATTTAACAAATGGATAACCTAACTTGAGTATGGATTATTTGGTAGTGCCACATAGCTCGGTTGGTTGATGCAAATATTCCAGAAATGAATGTTAAACTACAAAATTTAACCAACAACTAAAATGGGTATTTTTTTCAAACTTTCAAAAAAATTATGAAATAAAGTTGAAAATTTATATACTAGAACCAATATTTCAAAAAAGTAAAAAATTTGACTCCTTAAAGTTAAGGATAAACCATTAAATATTTGATCACTAATTATTTTTCTTTATTTTTTAATTTTGTATTTCTCTCTCTTAGTTGTCAAATATTTAACGATGTTAGAAGAAAATTCTTTCTTTCCTCCTTAAGATGTAGAATTAAGAAGGAGAAAAACTTTGACAATATATTACTTCATATTATAAATTCTTTTTATGTTTGTTAAAATTAAAATAGATAAAACAATAATTATATAAGATTCATAAAAAAATGTTAGATTAAACTAATTATATAGTCTGTCAATATATGACAAAACACACCTCGAATAATTTTTTAAATTGAGATTCAATTATCAAATATATTATTAAACACATATCAAACACTCAGCAATAGAACTCTGTTTTCATTAAATGCTTTTGTCTTTCAAAGGGAGCAGTAATCTAATAGTTTGAATGGTAACTATTGCATTCTTGAACTCTTGGAGGTATTTGGGTTCCAAATCATGGAAGGAATTGAGGGCGAACCCATGGGATTCATGGTCGGCCTTAGCGAGCTGTCCAGTCCACGAACAGTGGGTCCAAACTGAAGATCGATTTGGACCTGGTGACCTGAACCGGATCGGGCAAATTGGGCAGCGCAATGGGCTCCGATTCAGGCGCGGCAAGAATTTTGCGGACTACACCGGAGGTTCGCAGAGTGATCATAACACGGAGGTAAAAGCAGGACAAGCTGTAGAAAACAAGCCTCGGAACGTTAAACTTGCGCGCAACATGGCCGGTCCAAGGCAGCGCCATGTCGGATACCAAGCAACTCGGCCGAGGAGAGAGCCTCTCGAACAGTTCCTCAGTTGGGCCGCGCAGAAGCGACGTTTCGGCGAGTAATTTGGCGCTCAATCCGAGGGAGGGCAAAGAGTCGAAATTCTCATACTCAATCCCATTTTGGGAAGGGAAATTGATTATTTGGATTTGGATTTGGAGGGCGGGTTTCGAGAACAGGGACTGGAATCGAGGGACGTTTTGAGGAGTGGTGACCAGCGTCACTTTCACTCCTTGCTCCGCCAGAAGCTTGGCAAAATCCGCCATCGGAATCAGATGCCCTTGCGCCATTATTGGCACCAGCAGGAAGTGGGGCGCCATGAATGATACAACTAAGGCCGGCTTCTGCACTCGGAGGAGTGAACCGGGGGGGGGGGGTTAAATTTCATCTGTGTACCGTACGTCGACATTTTAATTAGTGTGATATGTGTACGAGTTTGATGAAGTGAATCAACATTTCTATGCAAATAGAGTCGATTAAAATTTGACGAAGCATAAAAGATATATCATATCAATAAAATATCACTATTGTGAACCTTATATATTATTGATATTGATATTTAATCTTCAATGTTTCTAAAAAAAATTGAAATTTATTAATAAAGTTTAAAATATGACTTGATTTATTATGTAATAAAGTTTAAACTCATTTTCTCTAAATACTTTTATTTAAACGACGGCTAAATCTACATAATTCATCACCAATGCTAAAACAAGTATAGATAATTAACATATATACATGGATTGACATATATAATTTATTTGTTTATTCTTTCTTTCTTATTTATTTCTTATCCTGATTAATTGGATTTTGAGGGGAAAGGTGAATAGCATGAGATATATGGGTGCCATTTTGTCTGTTTGTAGAGATTTTTTTGATAGGGTTGTAATTAGAACCGCGTTTTTAATTTATGAAAGAGACATTTAAGACTAATTTTATTTTGACTTTTAGCGACTAAAATTCAAAATGTTTTTCGTCTTTGTAACGTGAACTTGGACGAATGAAAGCAGCTCACTACATAACATCATTATTATGCTTTTTGATGTGATTTATATTCGGTGGACTAACAAATATAAGGAGGATCCACTTATTTATTAAATATAATTTAAATAGACCTTTACAAATAAACTATTAAAGAAGAAATTAAGAACCTATTCGGTAATATTCTCGTGTTTTTGTTTTTGTTTTCAATTTTATTAAAAAATCTAAATATTTGAGTGAGGGGTTTAGAACAAACGTGATTGATGATTATATGTTATTAACGTCAAATATAGAAATTTAAAATTGTGTACTTGACGAATTAGTATTGAGTGATTATTAGTATGGCGGGCTGCCATATTGTATAAATTTTCAATGATAAAGTAGGAGAGATAACACATTTTTTTTTAGTATAATATATGGGGTGGGGGATCGAATTCCAACCTCTTAATTATAGATATATGTTAATAATCGTTGAGCTATGTTCACCTCGTAGAGATAACCGGTTTGATTTTAATTAGATTCGGAAATTTTGGCTATTTTTGCAGCAATAAAAGCCTAAGTGGCGTGTTGCTAATGATAACTATAAAAAAATATGTGGCAAAAGATTCTTTTTTTAGTTCAATTTGATAAAATTGAATACATCAAGTCAATTACAAAGTAAAAAATAATTTTAAAAATACTAATTACGTTTAGCCAAAAGATTTTTTTTAGTATATATGCCAAAAGACTTTTTAGTACAATAAAAGGAGCAGCTAAGCTATATATGCTCACGTTCGAGAGGGAAAATAAAATAATAAATATATATATATATATATTTGTCCTAAATTTGCTAAAAATACCAAATCTTATAAGGCAAAATAAGGAAGCCCATCTTTTTAACCTAAAATAAGCACATTAATAATCTTAAAAAAAATCACCCTTGGGAAGTTTAAATTTGATTTGCATTGTGTTTGCTTTTTCTTAAAAGATAGTTAAATATATAAAGTAATTAATGTTGAAAATGATTGAAGGATAAATTTTAGCCGATCAGAAATTACCACATGTTATTTTTTTTTTTACATCAATTACCAATTGACACGTGTTTCTAAATTAAATTAAAAGACATGAAAAATTGACTCATTAAAAAATGGTCAGAAGATGTTCTAATCAAATTAAGCCACGTGATGGGTTCAAAATACACCATTTACAATATACAATCCATATGATAATCTTAAAAAAAAAATTAAGAAAAGTTCCCTAGGACGTCTTTTTTATTTTCTCATTTAGAAAAATCCTAATTTGAATTGAGATTTATAAAAATTTAGGTTAGATGTACACCTGAACCGGAGATTAATTGAACCCAATCCAATCCTCATCAAGTTGGTCGGGTTTTTTGAAATCGGCATTTATTTTGGATTATCAACTTAGAAAAAGGTAGTGTATATGTCAAGAATAGCAGCAGGCAGTGAAGACTTAACGAAGAAGTAAAGAAAACAAATATGGCCCAATAAGAGATGCAACCATTTTTCCTTACTTTTCTTCGGCTCCAATTCCAACACAAACCCACCGACTAAATAGAGGCCCTGGGGAATATTAAAAAAATTATATATTGGAACGTGGATATGTGACATTAGTGCTGTTTCTTCTTCAATTGGAGAAGTGCTCTGCGAACATATCTAGAAGAAGTGCTTCTCAAGCTATTTCTCAAACTTTGAGTATGTGGCCCAAATTGTATGCTTGAATGAATTCTATTTATTCTTGTTCAAAAACAAATCTCAGCAAACATAACCATTCAAACAGGGTCGTAAACCATAATAAAATTTCCAAACCAAACGGGATTCTAAGAGGATCAAACAACCCCCTAGAGAAATCATGATGATCCTCCATTGATGTGGTCCATGAGCAGCGTGAGATTCCGGTTAGAGGAGCCCCCTTCTTGAACGGCTCTCTTTGCTTTCTCCGCAAGTTGTTTGCATCTCTGTCTCATCTCTTCACTCCCTTCTCCATCCATCGCCATTTCTATGGCTTCCCTCACTTTCTCTCTCCTCACCAACACCCCTCTCTTCTCTTCCTCTCCCCACGGCACGCTCGTATCCACGCCCACGCTTACGCCGATCTTCAGAATCTCCACGATTAGCTTTCCGTTGGACATTTGATCTGCAAACAGCGGCCAAGTGATCATCGGCACGCCAGCGGACACCCCCTCCATGCTCGAATTCCAACCGCAGTGCGTCAAAAAGCATCCAATTGCAGAGTGCGACAGTATCATCATCTGCGGCGCCCACCCTCGAATCACCAGCCCTCTCCCTTTCGTCCTCCCCACCAAGTCGTACTCCTCCAACCAATTCAGCAGCTCTTCCGTTAAATTCAATTCTCTGATTACCCAAATAAACGGCTTATTCGATGCCTCCAGACCCAATCCCAGCTCTATGAGTTGCGACGCATCCACGTTGCATAGGCTTCCCAGAGAGATGTACACCACAGACGATTGGTGCTGCCCGTCCATCCAATTGACGCATTCGTGTACGTCAATAGAGGCTCTGTTTCCTCTCTGAGCCACGTCGAGTTTGTCATCGTTGCAGAGCGAGACTGGGCCAACGCACCAAACTTTCTCCGGGGATTTTCTTTCGTTTCTATACTCGGCGATTTGCTCAGGTTCCATCTCCTCGAATCCACTAAAAATAACGCCGTCTGAGTGCTGATCGGCCACCATCATTTCAACACCGAACTTGACCAATTCTTCATCGGAGGTGGAGCTCAAAAGAGTGTGGGTTTTGGCGAAACTCCGGAGACTGAGAAGAAAGAAGCAGCTGAAGGTGTAGAAAACGAGCCTGGGGAGGCGGTGGTGGCGAGCGAGGCGTAAGGTCCAGGGGAGGTTCATGTCGGAGACGACGCAGGCGGGACGGGGGCTGAGGTTGCCCAACAGTTGTACGGATGGCTCGTAAAGGAGACTCGCTGCGGCGTTGAATTTGGAGATGGAAGCAAGTGAAGGGAGCAAGTCCAGATTCTCGCACCCTTCTGGAAGCCCGGCTTGGTTCCATGGAAATTCCAACTGAACCACCTTGATTTGTAATCCGGATTCGATGGCTCGGGCAAGAACTGAGTCGTTGCGGGCGGCGTTCTTGGGAGTGGTGACCAGAGTGACTATGGCTCCACGCTGAGCCAGAAGCTTGGCGAGGTCGATCATGGGAATCATGTGGCCCTGAGCCATGTAAGGGAACAGCACAAAGTGAGGGGAAGCCATGGGAGGGGACAACAGACCTCTGCAGAAAGAGAAGAAATTAGTGAGGTAAGAGCATCACCATGTTTGGTCTTTATTAGAATGGGGACCGTAGGAAAATTTCCAAGTCCTCCCCACTAAACTATCTTTATTATTATAAAATGTAGAAAATAAATATATATCTTTTGTGGGGTCACGTATCTAGAAGCAATATTTACTCCACGTGTCTCACTTCCTCTCTTTTAGTTTAGTACGACATTCTCATTAAACTATTTACATTTGATATATTCACTTTCTTCTCTTAATGTATTTATTATTTCAATCTCTTCTCTTTATTCAAACCAATAAAAAAAATTTTATCTTATTCTCTATTTTCATGTGTAGGTTTCTAAAATAAAAAAGAAAGTTTGATTACTTTATTTTGATTTTTTTATTTTGTTTTTAATTTTATTTTCAAATAGTTAAATAATTGTTTTGTATCATTTAATCAATATTATAATTAGATTGTATTTGTTATCATGTTGATATGTTGTTTTTTATTTGTAATTTTATTTTTAAATAAAAATAAACAGTTATTGATACCTAACAAAACTTAAAAAGTAAATATAACATATTTTATTTGTTACCCATAATGTTATCCAATTTTTTTAATATACGTATAAATATCAAATAATAAAACCTGATTAATTAATTTACATACATTAAAAAATATCTCATTAACTTATTTGAAAATTCCATCTTAATTATGGGCTAGTCACTTATTTGAAACAAAAATTTCAATTAAACTAAAGTTCAACAAATGACAAAAAAAAGTGCATTTATAATCAAATAATAAAGATTCATAAAAAATGATGAATTTAAAAAATTAAAAAAAAATAAACATAATTTACCTAGAGATTTATTTTTTCACTTGGGATGAATTCATCTAAATATTTTATGGAATCAAGAACAAATAAAAAAGATATAAAATGATTAGAATGCAATACAGCAAAAAAAAAAGTAATAAAGAACGAGAAAAATTAAAAATTAGATTGAAAAGTCGCGTATAATTTAAATGGTGAATTACAAATTGTTAAAGTTCACACATTCTATAAAAAAAATAATAAAGAATGAAAAAAAAAATTCAATTTGAAGGGAGAAAATTGAGGAGGAGAGAAGAATAACATGAGAAATAAATTTTAAAAAATAGATGAAAATAAATAATCAAATAATAAACAGGAGAGAGAATAAATAAGATAAGTGGAATAAATATTACTTTAAAATATGTGGATGCCACATAAGATATTTTTTTTATTTTTTATAATAACAAAGATACTTTACATGTGTCGAATTTTAAATAGAAGGAGTATGGAAGTTCTCCAAACCACCGTGGGACTAGAAATTTCTCAAATCTAAATGGCAATCTCTTAGGACACAAAGTTTCTTCTCCCAATAATTTGGTTAAATTTATTTTAATGACCAATCACAATTTATCAGAAAGAAAAATTTAATACAACTGAGTGGGTAGTGGGTATTGAATTGAACTCACGACTCTTTATAAAATTTTAAAACGTTGCAAATCAGAAATGAAAGTCTTTTATCTTCTAAGAAACAAAACAAAGAGTTGCATTGCTCGACGCGCCTATTCCAGCAACTTTTCTCGCCACAGCACAGATCTTCAAAGATTTTTGGAGATCCCTTGAACACGGGAAAGTGGGGGAGGGAGATAAAAGAGGGAACACTTGGTCATTTTAATTTTCAATAATTTTGAGAGAGAGAATCATTGGAAGTTTTTTCCTTTCTTCCATATGATAGATGTCTACAAAAGTCAAGAAAGAAAGTTAGGGGCTGGGCTTTTATGGAGATTGGTGCTGGGTTCTTGGAAAAAACACGATAATATCGGGTCGGTTTTTAATCAGGTTAAGTCGAATCGACAGTCGGTTTCAATCAGTTTGATTTAATCAGCTTGTCAATTTCCCAAGAAAGTTGTTATGAGAGCGAAAGGGAATGCGATTGGGACGAGATGAAAAAAGAAAAAGAGAACTTTTCGAAAAAATACATTTCTGGTCCAGGGAAATAAACACTTTTAATATGAGATTTGTAGGAAGTATCTATTTGTTCTATCAAAATTTCAAAATCTATATTTTTTGTCCTCGAGTTTTGAAAGGTTAGACCACTTGTAATTTTCTCATCCTCCTCACTTTCTCTCTCCTTCTTCTTCTCTCCTATTTCGAACCAATTGCCGCCACCGCCAAACCACCATCCACTGTCATCGTTGTTGCATTTTCTCCATTGCCAGGTGACTCAAACCTCTCGTCAGCGACTGCTAAGAAGAAAATACCGCGGTGGCACAACGACGACGACAATATAGCGATGGCGCGACCGGAAAGTGCAGTTACAGAGAAAATTGAGATAACAATTGTTACTGAGACGTAACAATAAATAAAGTCATAACTCCAGAGAAAAAGAAAAATAAGGGAAAAAAACAATCTGCGAATAATGATCAGCAGTTTCCATTGTCACAACTTCTTCCTTGAGCAACGGTATCTTGAATCAACAAGTTGAGATTCCGGTGAGAGGAGCCCCCTTCTTTTACTGTTCTCTTTGCTTTCTCAGCAAGCTGTTTGCATCTCTGTCTCATCTCCTCGCTCCCATCTCCATCCATCGCCATTTCTATGGCTTCTCTCACACTCTCTCTCTTCACCAACACTCCTATCTTTTCTTCCTCTCCCCAAGGAACAGCCGTTTCCGCGCCCACACTCACGCCGATCCTAATTATCTCTACTAATAACCTCTCGTTGAAAACTTGGTCCGCAAAGAGCGGCCAAGTGATCATTGGCACGCCTGCAGACATTCCCTCGATGCTCGAATTCCAACCGCAGTGCGTCAAAAAGCACCCAGTGGAAGAGTGTGACAGTATCATCACCTGCGGAGCCCACCCTCGAATCAC